TGGACATCCTGGGGACAAAGACCCCTGTCCCTCAGTCCATTATGTGCAAGAGGCTTTGGCAGAGACAAGCCTGCAGGTGGCCAAGCTCTGATTACACCTCCTTCTCATCCTCCTCCTTCACCTCGCAATCAGACACCAGCACCTTAGTCTGACTGCTGCCAATTCCTGGTAGGGTTGCTCCTAAGGTTTCCTGTTGTTTTCAGGATAATTGCCAACCGCCTTAATATGGCTCCCAGGCCAGGTGGATTGAACAAGCCATATGTGCCCAAAGTTAACAGCCCACAGTGGGGTAGGGGGGTAGAGGGCATCTGGGCCCCAGGCAGAGAATAAAGGAAAGACACCCAGGGAAGTAGGCAGAGTTCAGAAGGCATCCACCCTAGGGGAGATGATGCAAGGAGGTGAGGACTGCATGGCCCTCACCCCTGCCCCTGTTGTCGCAGGTCAGCTTTCATTCCTGACTCCCAAAGCAAGGCCACACTTCTGATGCTAGGATTCCAGCCTCCTAGTCTATTGGTTCTCTTCCAGACTCATCCTTTTCCTCCTTGGCCCAGGAGTTCCCTATGGTCACGGAGGGCAGTGGAGAGGAGTCTGGGGTGGGGGGAGGTGAGGAGGTGGATGTGACTTGCTGAGGAAGGGCAGGAAAAATGGGGGAGCTGTAAAGCAGTAGGGCAGGAGGGGCTGAGTGTGTGAGCCCTTCCACTCTTTTTGGGTGTTTCAGCCCAGTCCTCTGTCTCAGAGGGAAAGAGAGGAACGAACTGTCAGCAGATTTGGTGGGATGGAGGTGGGTTTGTGGTTGGTGATGTTGTCTGAACACCCAAGGGTCACCCAGGGCCAGATGTGCAGGCAGCAGTTGACCTGTTGCTCATGACCTAAAGGGTAATCCTAAAGTCATCCACCCTCTGACATTCTGACTTTTGTCACCTCCAAGGGGCCTCTGGAACTAGCCCTCCTGTGGGCACACTCTTCATGTACTTCCTCTTCTTTTTTTGACATTTTGCCCCCACCTCCACCTCCCTCACTGAACCCTGGCACTCCTGTGGTGACTCAGCTCCCCTGGACCATTTGGTACCTGCATCACCCCCACAGCACCCTGAGCCTTGTTACATCACCTTTTCTTTTCTTCTTTTTTATCCTCACCCGAGGACATTTTCCCATTTTTTTGTTCAGGTAGAGTGAGAGGGAGAGAGAGAGAAACATCGATGTGAAAGGGACACATCGAGTGGCTGCCACCCGCATGACCGACCAGGGCCGGGGACAAACTACAACCGAGGTATGCACCCTTAGCGGGAACCGAACCCGGGTCTCTCAGGACCGCAGGTCGACGCTCTAACCGCTGAGCCAAATCGTCCAGGGCACATCACCTTTTCTTGATTTGCGTAACTTCATTACCACATTACCCCATTTTATCTCTCTTTTTTTTTTTTTTCTTTTTTTTTTTATCCTCACCTGAGGACATTTTTCCATTTTTTGTTCAGGTAGAGTGGGAGGGAGAGAGAGGAACAGAGAGAGAGAGAGAAACCTCGACGTGAAGGGACACATCGAGTGGCTGCCACCCACACGACCAACCAGGGCCGGGGACAAACTGCAACCGAGGTACGTGCCCTTAGCGGGAACCAAACCCGGGTCTCTCCAGACCGCAGGCCGACGCTCTAACCGCTGAGCCAAACCGGCCAGGGCCCATTTTATCTCTTCATTCCACTTCCTAGAAGCTCAAATCACCTTTTATGTTTACTCATTTCTTGCCTCCTTCCTTAGAAAGTAAGCTGCCAAAAAGCAAGGGCTTTGTAAGCCTTTTTCAAAGTGCCTGACACATGGCAGTTGCTTAATATTTGCTTTTTTTCTTTATTGATTTTTAGAGAGAAGGAGAGAGATAGAAACATCGATGAGAGAGAACATCGAATGGCCGCCTCCTGCATGCCCTGCACTGGGCATTTGGCCCACAACCTGGGCATGTGCCCTGACCAGAAATCGAATCAGTGACCACTTGGTGCATGGGTTGATGCTCAACCACTGACACCAGCCGGGCTTAATACTTTTTTTTGCATTTATCTTCAGATAGAGCGGGAGGGAGAGAGGGAGGAAGAGAAACATCGATGTGAGAGAGACACATCAAAGTGGCTGTCACCCACACGACCCCAACTGGGGCCGAGGACTAACTGCAACTGAGGTACGTGCCCTTAGTGGGAACTGAACCCAGGACTCTCTGGTCCACGAGCCGATGCTCTAACCACTTAGCAAACCGGCCATGGCTTAATATTTCTTAAATGGAGTGATACATGGGTTGAACCCTCCATTCCCACGTTTATATCTATGTAACTCTGCTGACTCCTTCCTAGCAGCATTTATCAAGCTTAAGTCTCCCACATCTTAAAAAAAAAAATGTTCTCTCAGCCCTGACCAGGTGGCTCCGTTAGTTGGAGCATCATCCTGTACACCAAAAAGGCTGTGGGTTTGATGCCTGGTTGGGGCACATACAGTCGGGGTGCATATGGGAGGCAACCGATCAATGTTTCTCTCTCACATTGTTTTGCCCTCTCTCTCCCTCCTGTCATTCAGCAAGTATCTTCCAGAATGCAAGCTCCAAGAGGACGAGAACCTAGTCTTATTCATCACTGCGGTCCCAGCACCCAGTACAGAGCCTGGTCCTCAGCACATGCTCACTGAATGTTCAAAGAACTGAGTACTTCATAAGCCCCATTCCACATGCCATACAGTGATAAACAGCTCTCAGGAAGCTTGTTTGAGAAAAGAAAAAAAAAAATCATGTGGTTCCAGATGGTGATAATGCTAAAAAGTACAAAGGGTGACATATGAGACAGTGTCAGGGAAGCCGTTTAATCAGTGGGTGACCAGAGATGACACAGCAGCCGAGTGTTCCAAGCATGGGGACAGCCAACACCAAGGCTGTGATTCATGGGCCAGCTTGAGATGATCAAGAAACCAAAAGGTGCTTGTGTGGCTGGAGCACAGCGAACGAGAGCAGAGACACCCAAGGTGAGGCTGGAGAGGTGGGCAAGGGCCACTTCACACAGGGCCTTGTAGGACACAAGGACACTGAATTTTATTCTTTTTTTAATCCTTACTCGAGGACATTCTTCCATTTTTTGTTCAGATGGAGTGGGAAGAAGAGAGAGGAAGAGAGAGAAAAACATCGACGTGAAAGGGACACATCAAGTGGCTGCCTCCCACAGGGCCCAACCAGGGCCAGGGACAAACTGCAACCGAGGTACGCGCCCTTAGCGGGAACCGAACCCGGGTCTCTCTGGACCGCAGGCCAACGCTCTAACTGCTGAGCCAAACCAGCCAGGGTGGATTTTATTCTTGATGGGATGGGAAGTCACTGGGAGGTTGTAGGGAGAGAAGTGACTCAATCTGATATACACTTTTAAGAGATCACTCTGGCTACTATGTGGAAAATAGGTTGGGAAACGGTGACAAGGAAAGCAGGGAGCCCAGTCGGTTACTGTGGTGTCCAGGAGAGGTAGGTTGCTTGGATTAGAGCATAGCCGTGGAGACAGTACTTATGCAATGACCACCACCCTCCCCCGCCTTATGGCAGCATTTGGCCCTTTGTCTGCCCTTTCCCCAGCCCTGATCACCTGGGAACAGGTGTGTTTGTGTCAATGTCCACCACCCCCACAGGCCCAGAGGCCCAAGGACAGAAACCAGGCTTGGCTGAGCTCCAGCACTGCTCCGCACAGGGTTGGTATGACCATGCTGGGGCTCCAAGGATGAATCACTGAACCAGTGAAGGAATGAAGGAGGAGCATCCCCCACTGTAGCCTCGCGAGGATATTAGTAACCAAAAAGAGAAATGGGTCAGGAGGAAACTGGGCAGATGGCAGGTGGTTTTATGGACTAATATGAGGTGAAATGACACAGCAGTTACAAGAAATCAGGGCAAAGTACAGCAACTACTAATCTAGGTGTTCATGGGGATTGGGCCTTCTAGTCAGCCCCAAGGTGTGGGTGCCTCATGTCTGTCCCGAAACTTATGCCAAGGCAGGAACGCCTTTGGCAGAGAAAGCAGGTACCACTGGTTGTGCAACTGGGAAGGGAAGCATGTTTGAAGGAGCAGAAAAATCAGAATGGAGAAGCCTTCACTGGTGAGCCCCGAAAATAATTTGAAGTAGGCCAGATGAGAACCTGGGGCCTACCCTACCAGAAGGCTCAGGCTCAGAAACACCTACAGCAAGCAGGGGGCCAGGGAGAAGGGAGGGGCTCTGTGAGTAGGGCCAAAAAGTCTGTCACAACTGAGCCAACCTTCCACCTGTCAGGTAACATAGCACAGTGAGAGGGGACCCGGAGACTGAGCTGAGACAGCTCACTTGCATCTCAACTGTCAGTTCCCAAAACACCTCTCTCTGCCCCTGGACCCCCACCCTATCTCAGGCCTCAGGCCTCCTCCCCAGATTAGGATAATGGAGCAACCTCCTATCCTTCCCCAGCCCCTGTCCATCCAGTCTACTCTCCTTGCTGCACTTGTGTGATCATTCAAGAGCTCCCCATTTTCCTTGAGACAGGATTCAAGTTCCTGAACTGGCCCCCCAAGTCCACCTTGATCTGGCTCCACCTACATCTTTGCTCCTTCTCCTGTGCCCATTCAACACACCTCCATCTACCAAACTCATCCTGGTCTTTGGGCATACTGTTGTTCCTTCTCCCTGGGATGTCCTTGTCCCCTATCTCAGCCTCTGGGAACCTTCTAGACTCAACAGAGATCCTCCTCCTTCAGGAAGCCTTCCCAGACTCATACAGTCCTTGGCCAGCCCTATGAGCACTCCCTACCAGATCACTTTGTCTGGTGCTCACCTCCCCAGGCCTGTGGACTCCTCCTCCCAACAGTCCCAGCTCAGGGTCAGCACTCCAGACCTGCTGACCTGTGCCCAGCCCTGTGCTGGCCACTGAGGACAAAGATATACAATAGGGTCCCTGCCATCAAGGAGAGCCAGCGTGCTAAGAGAGGCAGCCCCAGCCCCACCCCACCCCCAGATGCCCAGCACATGGGGCAGACTGAAGGAAACTGGCCACCTACTCCAAGGCTTAGAGGAAGGAGGGAAAGCCTTCTGAAGAAAGAGAGATGTGAGCTGGGCTTCAAAGGATCTAAAGGTAGAGGAGCAGAAAGAGCATCCTCAGCAGAAGGAAGAAGCAAAGGAAGGAAGAAGAAAAAGGGCAATATCTAGCAAAGTAGGACTTAGTCTAAAGTGGGGGGGTGGGGGGAAGGGTGAAGTGCTGGGTCTGCAACACCCACTGAGAAGCCTGTGTCCATCCTGTATATGATGGGAACCAGGGGAGGTTTGGGAGCAGGAAATTGACATGGCTAGAATTAGGCTCTAGAAGGTCAAGTCTCCAAACCCCAGTGCTCTAACAATGACGGCCAGAAAGTACACAGAATGAAACCATTTTTTGACTCTTAGTGGGGCTTTGCCCATGTCATACCACATGGGGAGGGGGTCAGGGCCGAGACTGGGGACCAGACGGAGGAGCAAGGTCCAGACTCAGGGGATCTTGGCTTCTTGGAGGGGGCAAGGGGAGGAGGCCTCTGCCCCCAGGCAAACATGTCCTTGCAGGGTGGCAGCGGTGCCCTGACCAGGCTGGGCACAGATCGAGCAGGTCCTCTGGAACCAGCTGGGTGGCTGGGCAGGCAGCAGTCAGAATGGCCGCTTTTCAGGGGTCATCAGTCGCTCCACCTCCCGCATGAACCGCAGACACAACTCTTCCTGCCAGGGCAGAGCCACGCACTGCACGGCCACAGGCAGCCCCATGCTCTTCCTCATGGCCTGCAGAGGACACCGGGAGCAGGATGGGAGGCGGCGAGGCAGGACCCCACCCTAGGTCCAGGAAGCACCCCAGATGGAGGGAGGGGCAGCAGAGCAGGCCAGGCCAGTCTTTCATTAAGAAAAACAGGCAAGCACTATATGTGTTTATACTGTTTCCTCCACAGCAGCTAGAGTTAGGGTATGGGTGAGTCCCGGGGAAGGGAAACCCAGGGTCGGCCAGGCCAGTCCCCATGACCTTACCTTGTACAGCACCTTGTCCCACATATCTCCAAAGTAGCCCGTGCAATGTTCCATCTGGGCCTCATCCTCAAGGGTCACCGTGGTGACAGGCACCACCCCCGCTGGGAAGTCCAGGCAGTTGTAGAGCAGAGTGTAGCTGACGGCCCCTGAGACATAGCACAAGTGGCTGGAGCAGGCCGGGTGACCTTTAATGTCAGCTGTCCTATCTGCGCCTCAGTCCCCCACCCTGTGAAATGGCGCCTGACCACAGACAGAGATAGGCTCTTTCCCAGGGCTGAGACTTGAGTGAGTGGCAAAGCCCAGGAATCCAGATTCAGGGCAGGCTGGAGAGCCTGCTGGTGTTTTCCCCATGCCCTTGCCCATTCCTACCTGGAATGTTGTTCCTCTTTTCTTGGCTTATCTAAATCCCACTGGACTTCAGTTATTACCTCCAAAAACCATAGACTCTAACTCCAACTTGAATAGTGTGGGGGACAGGAAACTATTCCTTCCCAGGGCATCCCATATGACTCTCATCTTTCCAGCTAGCTAGACTTGAGTCCCCCAAGAGCCCGATCCTCCCCCAGGGCTCCTCTTCATCGACTTCCCAGCAGCCCTGCCAGGCACAGGGCTGAACTCACAGAAGAGAAGGGATGGGTGGGTGTGTCAGGGGCATGTTAGGGAAGCAGGCCTCACCTGAGGCCTTGCCTGGGGCATTCAAGTCCATAGCAGGGCCCAGCATGGGGGTGAGCAGCACATCCAAGTCCAGTGCTCTCCACTGGGCAATCACAGAGTTACGGTACACCTGGGGAGGGTTCCAGCACAGCAGGTGAAGCACTCAGACCCAGTCCATCACATGAACTCAACGCAGGCATTGTGTGGCTGGGTGGCTTGGGCCCCAGCACCTGCCGGGGGATCTAAACCGAGTCACAGTGGAATAGAGGTCCTCAGGACATGCAGGCATGGCTGCTTTCGGGGGGAATTGATTTCCCCACCTCCTACAAGAACTGTAGACACCATTCTTCCTGCCGGGGAAAGGCCACACAGTGCCCAGACAGGCAGCACGAGAGGGGCGAAGAGGCATCCAGAATAGGAGCCCCGGGCTGACCCAGCCCCCAAGGATGTGCATTTGGGCAAGTGAGGGTCAAAGAGCAGGGCCCAAGCAGGCCAGTCCAGGGAGGGGAAGGGGGAATGACAGGCTGCTCTAGGAGACCAGTAGGACCAGTGCCCAAGAGATCCCACTGGCAGGTGCCCTGTCCACATCCCCACACCCTAGTCCAGTCCAGGGGCCCTGGCCTCACCTCAATCTCATGCTGCAGCACCCAGAGCTTTCCAGTGGACCTGGCAGAGGGAGTGGAGTCACCGGCCATGATGGCCATGGAGATTAGGAGATTTGCAACATCAGACCCCTATTCTTAACCTCCCAAATCTCATTCCTGCAAAGACCCTTCTCAACATTATGGGAATTCCGAGAAGGAAGTAGTGCAGGGCAGAAGTTCAAATCCCCACTGTCCCGTTGAGATACGGCCCTAAGAGGGACTTAGGCTGGGTACTTAGTGACTCCACAGCAGAGCTAGGACCAGACCAGGCAGGATTCCTAGCTACCCTTAGGAGAGGACAGAGCTGTCAAAAGTCCTAAATGTCTGGTTGTGAGAGAAGGAGCAAGTCCACAGGATGCCAGGGCCTGAAAGTGGGGCAGCTTATGCCCTGCTTTTCCTGCTTGAGCCACTAAGGGGCAGGTCAGACCCAGCGCAGCTCAGGTCAGGTCAGATCTCTAAGAACAGTGTCTCTTACAGGGCCCTCACCATCCCCCTCTCCCCTGCCCCACAGCAATCCCTCCTGGTCCTTTCCACCCATGCCCCAGCCAGGTCAACTTTCTCCTCTCCACTGCTCCATCCTGTAGTCTCCCTCAGGCCCTTGCTTTCCAGCCAGACCTGGACCTTGCTGAGACAACTTCAGGGTCCCATCTGAAGGCCACAGAGGGGCTGCATCACAAACTCTAACTCAAGGCCTCCAACTTGAATGGTGTTGGGAACAAGAAGCTCCCGTTCCCCGCACTAGTCAAGCTGGAGATCTTGAATAACAGAGTTGCCACCCTATCTGGGCCACTTCCAGCCTCAGAAGCTATTTCCCACCTCTTTACCTGTCAGAAACCACTTAAACCCAGGCCAGGGGAAAAGAGAGGCAGACATTCGAGCATGGAAATACTTACCGAGACTTCATGCTGCTGAGAAAGGCGGCCAGCCTTGGGAGCTGCAGGACAGAACAGTCAGTCGCTCATCTTTGGGCCAGGTGCTGACAACAGTCTTCTTCAGGCCAAGCCACCCGTGCTTCCTCCCTCTGTCCTTCCCCCAGGTCCCAAGTTGACACCCGTTCAGCATGCAGGCTGATTAAAGCTTATAGGGCATGGGAGGAGGAGAGGAGTCTGGGTAGGGGCTGGAAAGAAGAAGAGACCATGCCTCCCAAAACAAGAGAGGCTAAGGAGAAGTGGGAAGAGCCCCAGAAGCTCTCTCTCACCCACCCCACCCCTCCCACTCCTTGTGCCCTCACCAGAGGCTTCAGCAGGAAAGCCAGCAGTCCTTTAAGCCATCTAGGCAGCTTCAGAATCAATATCAGGTCCCCCAAGCAGGGGTCCACGAAATCACCTTTGCTGGGAAACAAAGGGTCCAGTCCAGGCACTCCCACCCCAGACATCCCTCCTGGCTTACCCCTACCCACTGGGTCCCCCCTTTCTACTCAGCAACCCTTGTCCATCTCTCTCTTCACCAGACTCCTGCAACCACTGGTCTCTCATCCCTTCATCTGACTCCTTTCTTTTTTAAATACGTTTTTATTGCTTTTTTTTTTTTTTTTTTTAGAGAGAGAGAGAGATAGAAACATCAATGTGAGAAAGAAACATCAATCAGCTGCCTCCTGCATGCCCCCTTCGGGGGATCGAGCCCACAACCCAGGCATGTGCCCTGACCAGGGACCTCTCAGTCCCTGGAACAACACTCAATCCACTGAGCCACACTGTCTGGGCTCATCTGCCTCCTTTCAAATGTGTGACTTGTTTCTGCTAACCCTTCAGGATGCCCGACACCCACTGGAGCTCCCCGAGGCAGGACTCCATGTCACACTCCCTGACAAACTTAGCTTGGAGCAATGAGGGCTGAGGGCAACATCACGGCCAGGGCTTAATACTTAGGGCATCCCCTATTGATGACACCAGCCTGGAGGCACCAATGGGGCTGTCCAAAGTGGGCCACCCATGACACTTGTCCCAGGGCCAGAGTAAGAGGTAGCACCTTTCACTGAAGCCTGGACCACACTCGGCTTCTGGGGGAAGTCCGGTAAGCCTGGGCACATCACCACAAGGCACCTTTACAGGCCTGTCCTCTGCCTCTGTCAGTCTTTAAGGTCTGAAAACATTAGAGTGGAACCAGTTTCTCTAAACATGAGCTCTGCAAAGTCCTTTAAAGTGGGTCTGGTCCAACCCACAAACTTCATAGAAGAGAGAACTGAGGTCCTGCTCGAAAGGGAAAGATGTGGCTCAAGTAAGAAGAGCCTATCCAAGTGCCCCCTCCAAAGAGAGAAAAAAGAAAAACAAGCGCTTGGAGTCACAGCATGATGTCTAGACCCCGGCCCTCCTGCTTGACCTTGTCTTTGTCTCAATCTTTCCCAGGACAGAGGTAGCTCCCTGCCCATCTCCTACCTCCCAAAAAGCTCATCTCAGGGCCAGGCCACAGATGTTCAATCCAGCCTCTCCTTGCACTAGCACCTTTCTAAAGTGAGGTATTGCCAGGCTCAACCTGCAGTTGGAGATGCCGCATGGTCCCTGCCCAGAATGTTTAGTCCTTCTCTGTGTTTAGCTGAGGCCTATCTCCCATCTTCCCCCAGGTGGCCTATCACTGGGGGTCAAAGCACCCCCACTGCTCTCCCTGGGTCTACCCATGGCCTGATCCCCCCACAGACCCCGAGGCTCATCATCACTCACAAGTTCTGTAAGAAGCTGCTGCCACCATCACTGAACAGCCCACCCGTCGACAGGGTCTCCAAAGCATAGGGTATGTTGCTTGGCAGGAAAGGAACCAGCTGCGGGGATTGAAAGGTATAAGCCCCCCATACCTAGAAACCCTTGGGTCCACCACCCCCATGCTTCCCAGGTGGCCCTGAGGATGGACTGGACCAATTCTGCAGCATGGTAGCTCTTACTGGAGTCACAAAGGTAGCCTTGCTGGCTCATGAAAACTCCCTGGAGCCATACATAAATGTGTCTGAGATGAGCAGACTAAAACCCACTAGTCTACCAGCTCAGGGTCTTGGGAACCTATGGACAGTTGTGCACCACTGTGGTATCCCTGAAGAAAGGACCATGGCAGGACTTCTGGGCTCCTGCAGCCATACCGTGTGGCCAGCAGCCTCAAGTCTCTGCTTGGTCTCCAGCAAGGCTCGCTTCATGGCTGGGGTGGGCATAGTATAGTTGTCTGTCTCATAATACCCCACACGCAGGAGCTGAGAGCTTTTATAGACCTGGGAACAAAACACAAGAATCAGAGCCAGGTCAGGAGAGGGTGGCCCATGGCAGGGCTCCCAGAGATCCAAAGCTACTCAGCCAGACAACTGCCAGGCTGCAGCCTGGATGGATCCTCTGAAAATTGTCGGCCAGCCAGGCCTTTCACAAAATAACTTCACAGTGACTCCGCAGGTGGGCAGAGCAAGTCTGAAGATCCCCACTGGTCACATGAGGAAACTAAGGCTTCAGATCTAAAAAGGCTTCAGAGTGGGGCTGAAACTGGTCCAAAGCCACCCAATGCAGAGTGACAATATTAGGTCCAGAAACCAGGCACCCTGTCTCCTTGAGCTGAGGCTCTGCACTGCCTGTTTCATGGGAACGCAAGCCCTGGTTCCCATGATAAATTGTTCCAGACCTCAGGACAAGGACCTCATTTCCACCTCTCCTCCCTCTCAGGGAGGGGTTCATGAGCCACTGAGTTCAGTTAGAACATCCTCCTTTGCTGGGGAGGAGAAGTTCACCCCACTGAGCTCAGATTTCGCACTTGCCAAGAAACACCGAGGCCCACTCTCCTGTCCAGGGGCCTTCAGCCTTTCCAAGCATCCTGGGCTGGGTGAGGGAGAACTGGAGCTTACATCACACAGTTACTGTCTACATTAACATGACCTGACTACTCCACTGTCTGCATCCATCTGACTTGACTACTCCTGAATGCTTTGTAAATAAAGTACAAATAACTTTATTTTTCATTCTTGAAAGACCCATCAACTCTTCAGCAGAAATAGCAAATGACAGTTTATGCTCCAAGACTACTTAAATCCCTCACCTCCTTAAAATTCTCACCTTGCTGTGTCCACCAATCCTAAACTATTATTCCATCATGATCCTTACAAACCCCCACATTGAAATACCCACCTTAAACCAAACTTTAAAATCTCAACAAATATCCCTACTTTGCCCCCCCTCCACCCACCCTCCACACCTGCCCCTCCTGCCCTGGTGCTACTAAGGTTCTGTTGAGGCAGCATCCTCCCTCACCACAGAAATTAGTCAACACCGCTTTGTCTGATCAACAGGCTGTTTTGGTGGTATTTCAGAGAGCCAGCATTCCACACTGCGCACAGATCCCAGCTTTCTCTGGCAGGGAGGCAGCTCCGCCTTTAACTGTCCTTAACTCACTCAGCCTACCTGCTAAGCACCACAGTGGAGGTTGGGGATACAGAGGCAAACACTGAAGAAAGGCTCCTATTTGCAGAGAGCCAAACACAGAGGAAGTACATCAGTTCTCCCGCAAGCTGTTCTTGGTGATGGGAAGTGGTTTCTCAGTGACAGCAGCAGAGGCTGGGGCTAGAAGGCAGAGCTTGTCCTCAGCAAAGGTTCCCAGCTGCCAATTTGGAAGACTGGTTTCTAAACGCAGGTAAAGGCTCCATCTGTTATCTGGGGAGTAGCAGCTGACCCTGGTCCGGGCCCCTAGGGGTGGTTTTCAGGAGACAGGGCCTCTAAGGCCTGCCCACATTACCTGGGGGCTGCTCTCTGGGCTCAGGAGCACCAGTGACAACTGAACCCACCCCCCATCCCTGCTCACCTCCTCCTTGAAGGGCAGGGGGGGCACAGTAGGATCCAAGCGGAACATGTCCTCACACAGTAGTGCTCGCATGCACAGCGCCAGGCTTTCCACATCCTGGGCCATGGGGCCAACTGAGAGCTGTACTGTCGGGTGGGGAGGGGAGAAAAGAGAGATCACTCGGCCCAAGTGGGATCTGGGGCTGGGTCCAAGCAAAGACTGGGCCATAGCCCAGGAGTGTGGGCAGAGACAAGGGGGTAGGATTCAGACCTAAAGTGGCCTAAGGGCCAAACTCTGCCCCCAAGAGAGGGAGGGTCAAAGGTGGATCAGGCAAACACCCACCCTGCCTCCAGGGCACTAAGGAAACCACAAATCTCACCTGCCACCTGTCCATAGATACAGCCCTTCAGACCAATCTTGCTGGATAAGAAAAACAAGACATTGGAAACAGGAAATAGCCAACCTCTGCCCCACTCCACACCCATACAGCAGCTTGGAACTCTTAGCACTTGGAAACTAGAAATTAGGGCCAGTGGGGCTGTAACACTCCCTCCCAGAAAAAACCCAGTGAGGGAATCCCTGGCAGGAATCCAGAAAGGTGGGAAGCTAGGCCAAGGTCACACCTCCAGGGATCCAGAAGCTTCGTCCACCCACCTCCCACACCATACCTGAGGCGGTTCCCTGTGGGCTTGAGGCCACAGATGCCACAGAAGGAGGAGGGGAAGCGGATGCTGCCCCCGATGTCAGTTCCTAAGCCCAGGAGGGAGCCTCCAGCTCCAATGAGGGCACCTTCGCCTCCTGAGGAGCCACCTGGGGTCTTGGAGGATTTCCATGGGTTTGTGGTCTGGCCAAAGAGGGGGTTACTACAGTCATAGCTGGAGGAAGCAGGAACAGGTCAGTCATGTCACCCTGGCACAGGTGACCCTGCCTCCACCCTACCCCGAGACCGAACCTGAACATGGACTGGGGGACGTTGGTGTGCACAAAGGGCACAGCACCCTGCAGCTTCAGCACCTGCACCACCACACTGTCACACTCTGCTGGTACCCCCTGGTTCACGCTCAAGCCCAGGGTGGAGTCCAGGCCCTAGAGGGAAGAAAGGGCACCGAGGGGAACGTGGCTGATGAATCAGGGACCCTTCAGCAGCACAGGGTCCATTCCCACCACCCTCCCACAGGCCAAGGCACAGCATGGTGCCTGCTCAGGGCCTCTGGACTTGATACTTCCTCTGAGGGCCCAGGGTAGCCCAGGACACAGAGCTGGCTGGCAGGGATGGGGAAGTTCAGGCCTGATACTGAGGCAGGGCATACCTTGTAGCTGAAGCATTCCTTGAGGCTCACAGGGACACCGTAGAGCAGGCCCTGCCTTGGGGCCTGGGACAGCTGAGTCTCACAGTCTGCCAGGTAGGTAGTCACACAGTTGGTCCCTTTATTCACTTCCCAGGCCTAGAGGGAGGGAGAAATGGACACAAGGCACAATGAGGCTGGCCTTTTTATTTTTATTTTTATTTATTTATTTATTTTTTAATCCTCACCTGAGGACATTTTTCCATTTTTTGTACAGATAGAGTGGGAGGGAGAGAGAGGAAGAGAGAGAGAGAGGGAAACATCGATGTGAAAGGGACACATCGAGTGGCTGCCACCCGCACAACCAACCAGGGCCGGGGACAAACTGCAACCGAGGTACATGCCCTTAGCGGGAACCGAACCCGGGTCTCTCCGGACCGCAGGTGGACACTCTAACCGCTGAGCTAAACCGGCCAGAGCATTTTAAAATGATTTTTTTTTTTTTATCCTCACCCGAGGACATTTTTCCATTTTTTGTACAGATAGAGTGGGAGGGAGAGAGGAAGAGAGAGAGAGAGGGAAACATCGATGTGAAAGGGACACATCGAGTGGCTGCCACCCGCATGACCAACCAGGGCCGGGGACAAACTGCAACCGAGGTACGTGCCCTTAGCAGGAACCAAACCCGGGTCTCTCCAGACCGCAGGCCGACGATCTAACAGCTGAGCCAAACCGGCCAGGGCGAGGCTGGCCTTTTTAAATGAATAAATAAATATATATATGTAAAATATAATATAAAATTGGCCTTTAAAGTATAGTCAGGAAAAGAGTAGCCAGCAACATGGCCCAGAGCCAGGAGCAGAGAGGATAATCTAAGGCCCAGCACCCCCCTCACTGGGGACATCTGGCCCCAGTCTCACCCTGGTTGCCTCTGGCCTTCAACCCCAAAATGAAGAGAGAGCGTAGTCCCAGGGGCAAGGCACAATCAGGGCACTCAAAGGAGCAAGGCACTGGCACCAGAAGCCCCTCAGAGGGAATGAGCTAAAAAGAGGTTGACCCTTGGCCACTCCCCTCCTCCTTCAAGCTACATCTCTGCCCAGTGAAGCAGACAGGAACCAGAAGGGGCAGATCCCATCTCAGACCACACTGGGCGTCAGCACAGAGCAAGGCTAGACCCAGGCTCCAGCCTCCCAGAGCCCAGCACACTCTCCTCTGCCCCAGGCCTGGCCTACATCTGCCCCAGCTAAGTCTCCCCTCTCCCGGGAACTCTTGAATCTGATAATCAAGGCACACGGAGGAGTGACTGATTCATAGTTAAGGGGGTGGGCACGTGACTGAAAATAATGACACACTCAGTGTGGCTGTCTGCCACTAGGCCTTGCTAAAGCCCTCAAACCACACTCAATAGGGCTCTACAGGAGGGAAAGGCCAGGGAAGAATGAAGTACAGCTTTCAGTAAAAACTCGTTCTTGTGAAACACTGGGAGAAAATGGGTGTAGATCCTGCTGTCACACCCAGTCTCATGAAATCTGTCTCCAGGCTACCTAAGGCAGGAAGGTTGGAGGCCAACCTATCACCAGAATGCTTTCCTATGATCTCTTTCAAGAAATTATACAGAGTGCCCTGGCCAGTTTGGCTCAGCAGCTGGAACGTCAGCCTGCAGACCAGAGAGTCTCGGGTTTGGTTCCCACTAGGGGCACGTACCAAAAAAAAAGAAAAAAGAAATTATACAGAGCCACACTCATGTTTGAAACATATTTCAAACATATTCTTTGAGCACTTACTATAGGAAAGACACAGTGTCTGGCGGTAAGGTGCAAAGACAAGTTCTGTCACAAAAAAGCTCACATTTGACATGGGAAAGAGAACGACAAGGCAGGTCCCATAATGCAATGAAAAAAGTGCTATAAGAAAGTGAACACTCGCCCTGGCCAGTTTGGCTCAGCGGTTAGAACATCGGCCCGCAGACCAAAGAGTCTAGGGTTCAATTCTGGTAAAGGGCACAAAGCTTGGTTGTTGTTCATCCCTGGCCCTGGTCGAGGTTGTGAGGGAGGCAACCAGTCGATGTATCTCTCTCACATCGATGTTTCTCTCTCTCTCTCTTTCTCTCTCTCTCTCTCTCTCTCTCTCTCTCTCTCTATCTCTCTCTCTCTATCTCCCTCCCGCTCTATCTGAAGATAAATAGGAAAATATCCTCTGGTGAGGATTCAAAAAAATAATAATAATTAAAAAAAAAAAAGAAAGTGAACACCCTCCCAACTGGTGTGGCTACTGGTGTGGCTCAGTGGTTGAGTGTCGACCCATGCACCAAGAGGTCACTGGTTCAATTACCAGTCACATTGTGGGCCAAATCCCTAGTGAGGGGCATGCAGGAGGCGGTCAATCGACGTTCTCTCTCATCAACGTTTCTCTCTCTCCCTCTCCCTTCCTCTCTCTAAAATCAATAAAGAGAAAAAAATTTTTTAAAAAGAAAGTGAACACTGAAGAGTAAACCCTAACTTGGGCTGGGAGGGAAGGAGGGTCATGGGAGGCTTCATGGAAGAAGGGACTCCTTCTCTGAGCCCTGAAGGGTCAGCCAGGGGAGCCTGTTGCACCAAGCAGAGCAAAGAAGGGGAGAAGGGCCTTTCAGGTAAAAGGAATACCACCTAAGCCAGCACAGAGCATGGCAGGCCCTGTGTGCCAGGGAACTGCCAACAGCTGAGCTACCACTGATGCCCCAAGCTACAGAGGCCTTGGCCAGAGAGGATGCTGCAGACAGAGTCGAAACAGAAGAGTAGCACCTGAAAAACTGGAGAACTGAACAGGATCTGGTCAGGAGGCTGGTGCTTGATCCTGGAGGGAGACAGTGGTGGAGAACCAGGGTGGCTGAGGTGGGGGTGGGGACAAGGGGATGGACTAGAGAGAGCCATAGAAAAGGAAGAGACTAGCCCTGGCTAGTTTGACTCAGTGGTTAGAGCGACAGCCCACAGACCAGAGAGTCCTGGGTTCGGTTTCCGCTAAGGGCATGTACCTCGGTTGCAGTTTGTCCCTGGCCCTGGTTGGGTCGTGTGGGTGGCAGCCACTCGATGTGTCTCTCTCACATCGATGTTTCTCTCTCTCTCTCTCTCTCTCTCTCTCTCTCTTCCTCCCTCTCTCCCTCCCACTCTATCTGAAGATAAATGCAAAAAAAAGTCCTTGGTGAGGATAAAAAGAAAAGAAAAGGAAGAGACTAGACTTGGTGACCAATGGGGTGGGGGCAGGAGGGAGAGGGAAGTCTGGGCTAAAAGTCAGGTTTCTAGCTAAGACAACATGCTCAGTGTCCCCCTCCTCTCCATCTCTCTCTTCTCTCTCTCTCTCTCTCTCTCACTCTCACACACACACACACACACACACACACACACAGCTCTGGCTCCTTCTCTCCCTGGCAGCCCCTAGCACTGTGGTCCCACCATGGCCCTCAGCAGGATGAACTCCAGGCCAGGTTTCCCCCACAACCTGTGTACAAAGAACACAGGAATAAGCAGGGAAGATCAATGGCTGGCATTGGCTGAACTTACCTTTCTCACGTAGGTGAACAGCACAGCCTGCGGGGACAGTTCCCCATTGCGTAACTTCTGCACCAGCTGAGGCAGGGTCAGGGCCAGCAGCGCCTTTGAGTCCAGGTCGGGGTTCTGGGGAGATACCTCAGATCAGTCCCTCACTCCCTGCAGGTCCTACATGCCTGTGGCCCATGTCCTTAGGTCCCCACACCTACTAAGAAAATGCTCACAGTCACATGCCAATCCATTACAAACATGCTCACCCACAAATCTGACACTGTGACCCAGCCAGGGCAAGCCCTTGCCACCCTGGACAGTGCAGATATGATCTCTTCCTGGAAAGGATACACAGGGAGAAGCTATGCCCAGGTCGATTTTTTTAAAATAAATTTTGTGAAAGATGAAATGACAAAGTGTACACTGTAGAGAAATATTGCAAACCACATATCCATCCAAGTGATAGTATCCAAAAATACAAAACCCTTCAAAATGCAACAGTGAAAACAAACAATCCAATTACAAAGTAGGCAAAAGACATGAACAGGCATTTCATTGAAGAGTATATGCAGATGGCAAATAAACAGAAGAAAACAATAAAATCATAGTGAGATATTATGACACACATATCAGAACATCTTAAACTAAATATAGGAACAGTCCCAAGTGCTGGGGAGGATGTGGAGAAACCAGTCACTCGTGCATCAGTGGTGATGATAAACATGGCATAATCACTCTAAAAAACAGTATGGTGATTTCGAAAAACAACTATGGCAAAAACATGCAATTATTACACATCCCAGCAACTCAACCCCAGGCTATTTATCCCAGAGAAATGAAAATGTGTGCTTAAAGCATTGACTCAGCAAGTCTGGGATATTCAGAACTTGCACATAACAAAGAAATGTCTGACCTGTCTGGCTCCAGGAAGAAGCCTCTGAGCCCTTGGAATGTCCTGGCCCAGGCTGATTATTAAACCATTGTCAATGGGTGCCTACTGTGTGCCCGGCACCATGTTTTGATTAAATCTACTATTATTCCTGTTGCACAATAAAGAAACTGAGACTCAGAGAAGTGAAGTACCTTGCTTAGGACCATACAGGCAAACTATAGTTCTCTGCCCACGCAGAACAGTTTGCCCACTGGCTGTCCACCTGTACCTGACCATCTGACCACCCAACCACTAGCAGGGGAGGCTGAAAACAGGAAGACCCCATCCTGGGTGGTTAGGCTGCATAAAGAAGAGGATTTTTGCCCTGGCTGGTATGGCTCAGCGGTTAGAGCGTTGGCCCACAGACCAGAGTCCCGGGTTCAGTTCCCACTAAGGGCACATACCTCGGTTGCAGTTTGTCCTTGGCCCCTGTTGGGGTAATGTGGGTGGCAACCAGTCGATGTGTCTCTCTCACATCGATGTTTCTCTCTCTCTCTTCCTCCCTCTCTCCCTCCTGCTCTATCTGAAGATAAAAGGAAAAAAAAGGAAGAGGATTTTTTCATTCATTCCACACTAAGCATGGGGTTAGAGCAGTAAACGAAGAAGGCATATCCATGCTTTGGGGGGGGGTTTACATAAGGTGCAGGTTGGGAGTGAGCAGATAAGTAATAAGTAAACAAATAAGAATTTGAAATAGTGAGAAATAACTTGAAAATAAAACTGGATGCGGAAAATGGACAGCACACAGGTAGAGGGTAGTCAGGGAAGAGCTCTCTGAAGGAGAGACATTTGCTCTGACACCTCACTGCCAGGCCTCAAAGGCTCCCAGATCAGCCCCTACCTGCAAACACCCAGTTGCTTCCTCCTCAAGGGTACTGGACTAATTAGTAAACGGGCTAGAGAAGATCTGAGTCACAGTCACCAATTCTCAATTCTATGGTCTCCTGCTCTTGTCTAAGTCTTCAGGGGTCTCCTTGTTGCCAAATCCAAAAGAAACTTGACTCTTTTATTTTGCTCCATGTCTCATTGACCACAAGTCAGCTTCTTCAATTTTCTTCTGGGCCTGGAGATATTACCCTCTAGCCTTTTGGCTACTTCTGTCATCCCACTTATTCAGTCAATCAACAAACATTTTTTGAGCACTCACTATGTGGGACTACATTAGGGACTATGAATTAGAAGTAACCAAGACAGGCAAGTCCCTGCTTTCAGAGAGTTTACATTCAAGAAAATAAACAAATTAACAAAGAATGAACAGATCATGGTACATAAGAGAAAGCAAATAAACAGAGTGCTGTGATAGAAACAACAGAGAACAAACCCCAATGGCATGGGCAGGCCTCTCCCAGGAGGTGACATTTCAGCTGCGATTTGAAGGATGAGAAGGAGCCAGACAGTAGGGAAAGACAGAGACTCCTTGAGTTTCCCTCTGGGCACCTCTTCTCCTCTCTGATGCTGGGAGAAGTCATTCCTTCTGGTGGCTTCCTCTCCAGGCTATCCACCTACCCCACGGACACCTGATCCTCTACCCAGCCTGACCTAATTGAACTCAGATCCAGTCACTGGACTATTCCCATTGGTGCCCACGCTGCTGTGTCCTAACCCCTGAACCTGCTCTCCCGCTTTCCACCAGCTCCTCATCCTCCTTCGTGTATGCCCTCACCAAGGTGGGCATACATCCAAGTTCAAGCGAGAAAACAGGAGTCATCCTGGACTCCTCCCTCTCCCTCCCACCTGCATCCATTCAGTCACTAAGCCCCCTAAGTAGCTCTGGAAAATGGCCACCCTCTCCATCTCCTCTACCAAGATCCTCACTGTTGCTCATCCTTTCTCTCCCAGGTCACCCAGGGGCCACCTAGCTGGCTGCCCTGCCCAAGCCTTGTCACTCCCACCCATCCTTCCTTCCTGCAAGCCCAGACAACGTGAGCCCAACCAGGTCTTGCCTCTCCCCTTAAAACCACTTTCACCACAAGCTCCAGAACATGTTTCAGAAGGTGCTTCCAAGCTTGATTCTGTCAGACTCCTCTGTACCCCTCAATGCAACACCACCTCCTCACACCCGCCAGAGCTGAGCACCCTCCACACATACCCCTCACACAGCTTGTGTATTCCAACCTCAATATCAAGAACACTCGCCCTGGCCGGTTTGGCTCAGCGGTTAGAGCATCAGCCTGCAGTCCGGAGAGACCCGGGTTCGGTTCCCACTAAGGGCATGTACCTCGGTTGCAGTTTGTCCCCGGCCCTGGTTGGTTGTGTGGGTGGCAGCCACTCGATATGTCTCTTTCACGTCGATGTTTCTCTCTCTCCCTCTCTCTTCCTCTCTCTCCCTCCCACTCTATCTGTGCAAAAAATAGAAAAATGTCCTCGGGTGAGGATAAAAAAAAAAAAAAAAAGAACACTCTACCATTTCCCTTAATTTGTTAAATAGATACAATACTTATTTAGGATTTAAAAAAATAATACAGGGAGTTACAGAGAAGAAAAAAAATGGATCCATGATCTCTCTCCATACACACTAAATAATCCCTGGATTTTTTTTTCACACACACACAGTTCAATTTATTTACTTTTACAACTTATAATTCATTCTAAAGACTTAATTTCTTTGTTGGTGTAACAGCTTTATTAGTTCATATCAAGACATCGCATGTTCTTTTTTTTTTTTTTTTTTTCTTTATTGATTTTAGATAGAGTGGAAGGGAGAGAGAGATAGAAACATCGATGAGAGAGAACATCGACTGACTGCTTCCTGCATGCCCCCCACTGGGGATCAGGCCCATAACCTGGGCATGTGTTCTGACCAGGAATTGAACCAGCGACCTCTTGTGCATGGGTCAATGCTCAACCACTGAGCCACACCAGCTGGGCAAGGCATCGCATGTTCTAGCTCATCAGGATGACACATTTAGCTCTTCCCCAGATATTTTTTTAAAGGTATAAAAAATGAAAAGTGAACATTCCCCCATCTCTGGGAACCACCCTGCCCAGTCTCTCTTCAAAAAATGAAACCATAGTTAGTTTCTGATGAAACCTTACAAGGAAAAAAATGTTTATGAAAAACCCACAATGCATATAATTATTGATATATATCCTATTTTTTGCACAAAGGGATTTTACTATATACACAGTACTACACCTTGCCTTTCTCACCTCACAATGAAAATAGTAAGATCACTTTTTTCCTCGATTATATAAATATGTGATCACCATTTTAGTTTTTTTAAATTCCTAACAGTATAGGGAAGAAAGTAAAAATCACCAGAGGGCCCTGGCTGGTTTTGCTCAGTGGTTAGAGCATCAACTCATGGACCACAGAGGCCCGGGTTCGGTTCCCGCTAAGGGCATGTACCTCAGTTGCAGTTTGTCCCAGGCCCCAGTTGGGGTGGTGTACGTGGCAGCCACTCGAAGGGTCTCTCACATCGATGTTTCTCTCTCTCTTCCTCCCTCTCTCCTTCCCGCTCTATTTGAAGATAAATGAAAAAAAAAAAAAATGTCCTCGGGGGAGGAAAAAAAAAATCACCAGAGGGCCCACCACACTGGGATAATTACCACTGATAGTCCGGTCGCCACCATTTCCCACCTCACTGACAGGGTGCCCACAAAGTTCCTGTGCATCTCAACTAGAAACTGTCAGCAGCTCTGGGAGGGTTGCTGGGTTGGTTAGAGCATCATCCTGATTCACCAAGGTTGTGGGTTCGATCTTCAGTCAAGGCACAAGAATCAACCAATAAATGCTTTAAAAAGTGGAACAACAAATGGATCTCTCTCTCTCTCTCTCAAAATCAACAATTTTTTTTTAAGAAGAAGCTGTCAGCAAGCTCCCCTTCATTCTCAGCATAAATTTTTGATTCTTACCTATGTTCTTCCAAGTTGAAGACTTTGCAGACATAGGAAAGAATTTTAGTCTTTAACTGGTTATCAGGAATCTGAGACATTTTCTCTTTACAAGACACCAAAAGATAAGTCTGCACCTCCAGGAGATTAATTTGTGAACAAGGAGGAAATTTTAACTTTGTGTGGAGAATGCAGGAACGTGTACAAATAACTTCAAACAGAGCTTGTGGCCAGTCTGCATGCATACATTTTCAAGGGAAGGATACTATAGCTACCATTGAATCCGTGGACCAAAAAAAGGGTTCTATGGAACGTAATCTCACAAAGTGAGCTAATCATAAATTCCTGACTGAGCAAGGCATGGTAGGTA